GCAATGTGTTTGCAGCCCCGAAAGCCAACTGTGTCCCGGGCTGCACCCGGAGCAGTGTGGGCAGCAGGCTGAGGGAGGGGATTCTTCCTCTCTACTCTGTTTGGTGAAATCCCCCCTGCAAGTCCAGCTCTGGGGGCACCAACATCAGACGGATACGGACCTGCTCAAGCAGGTCCAGAGGAGGCCATGAAGATGATCAGGGGCTGAAGCCCCTTCCCTGTGAGGACAAGGTGAGAGGGCTGGGGCTGTTCTCCCCAGAGCCTGGGGAGACCTTATAGCAGCCTCACAGAGGGGCTACGGGAAAGCTGGAGAAGGAGTTTGTACAAGAGCATGTAGTGCTAGGACAAGGGATAAAGGCTTTCAACTGAAAGAGGTATAAGGAAAAAAAATTCTTTACTGTGTGAGTGGTGAGACACTGGAACAGGTTGCCCAGAGAGGTTTTAGATGCCCCCTCCCCGGTCATGTTCAAGGCCGGGTTGGACAGGTCTTTAAGCTACCTGGTCTAGTGGAAGGTGTCCTTGTCCATGGCAGGGGGGTTGGAACTAGGTGATCTTTAAGGTCCCTTCCAACCCAAACCATTCCCTGATTCTATGATTCTATGTAAAGTCTTCAAGGGCGGGTGAAAATGACCTCACCACCTAGTTCTGCAAAGCTGAGAAAAGCCAATTCCCAGAGCCAAGAGGATGGTTGCTCCCTCTTTCCCTGCCTCTCTCCAAGCCCGGCATGGGATGTGTTTGTATGAGACGAAGGAAATATTTCTAAACCAGAAAACTGCCCGTGGGCACCATTTAGATTGTATGTGTGCTAGGAATGATCACTTTTATAAATCAGGCCCTTCCTCACCCATCAGGGATATTTCTCTGTTCCCATGGAGCTTTTGTTCTATTTAAGTACCCGGGTCTGTCTCTTTGGACTGTTTGCACTAAGATGGATTTCAGAGGTGTCACTATTTGCAGTTGCAGAAATCCTACCCTGACACCATCACATGCTGATTACTAAACGCTGAGAAATGTAGGATCTTGGCTCTTGACCCAGGAAAGACACTGATGGTTTCAAGGAATGGGAGGGACAGGGACAGCTGAGGGGGAGCCGGACACCACGTTTTGGGCTGCTACTGAATCAGGGAAGGGACCATAAGTTGTCATAGGGAACAGAGTTTTTAGCTGAATTTGGACATGCTGGAGGCATAGAGCATCTCTGATTCCCAAAGATGATGGGGAAAAAAAATAACTTGTTTCTTCCCCAGAAGAACGCTGGAGCTTTTCAGTGCTGTGTGCGAACATGGCCTGGGCAAGCAAGGCCGTTAGCTCTGGCATCCCCCTGGCATGATCTGGCTCTGGGTGCAGCACAAGCAGTTGGACTTTTTTTCTCTAGAAGGAAATACCATGTTCTTGGGAATACAAACAGTTCACAACCTTCCTGGATCACTCCCTGCCACTATTCTCGAGGCTGTGGGGAGCAGCAGCGGGGCTGCCTGGCCTAGGCTCCCCAGAGGGGTCGGACTCATGCCAAAGGGTGGGTGGAGCTGTGGTCCCAGCAAATGCACAGGACTGGTGATATAATAGAGCAAAATCACGGGGCAGTCTGGGGAGAGACAGTGGTGATGAGGTTTGGCCCACCCGGGAAGGCAGAGGGCTCAGGGGATGCAGGGTTTGGGGTCGGCTGGTATTCAGGGCTGTCTGCCAACCTCACACTCCCGCCCCAGTCTCCCTGCTGACATTAAAGGGCTCCGGCTCAGGCATTGCTAGGTTTGTTCTTGGTGGCTGCATTTTTCTGCTCTGCTGTTACTGGGCTGTGCCCTCAGGTGGGTCTAGCCTAGAAGATCAGAAACCCATTGCTGGATGCCAACCAGGGCATGTAGTTATACGTTGGGGCACAAACAACATGCTCAGCATCTTAGGACCTGTTGTATCTTTGGGGTTGGGCCCCTCCCGTCTTCCTGATCCTCCTCCCTTACCTTGGAAACCCACATGAGAAATTCAGCAGGGTGAGAATGCCTATTGACGTTTCTTTTAAGTCTGTGCGGTCAAAGAGGCTGAGGGTGATGGAGGGGACCATCGACAGCCATCGTGTTTGGACCAGACCTCTCCATCCTACCCACTGAAGCTCAGCTGCATGTTTAGGACTACCACTGGATCCATGTTGGTATTTGCCTATTGATGATCATCTCCCAAAACATCTTTGCTCCTGGAAAACCTCAACAAAATATTCTCTATGAGATGAGCAGGGAGCAGTTGGAGACCGCAGCTGTGAATGCCCCGGGCAGAGCTCCCTGGTGAGTCTTTGCAAAGGAATTCTGCATTCCTCCCACCTGTTTGTCCTGCTCTTACTCTTTGCAGTCTACCCAAAGTGACTGGAGCAGAAGAACGTAGTGTTGTTCCCTTGTAGACTCTGCAGAAGCTTTTCAAAGGAATTGGAGGTATATCGAGATTTTTTTTTCCAGTTATTTTTAATGCAAACATTAAATGCCTTGATACTAGCGGAGATAGATTGCTGATGGGGCTGTAAGACATCTGCCCTGTCCTCATGGAGTCTGTCTTTTCTTGGGACAAGGTGTCTGATTAGATAAAGGCTTCCGAGAGCTCACCCCTCAGCTGTAGCCCTGGCCTATGGCTTTTCCTCACATGCTGCGTATGAATGGGAAACTAAATGGAGCCAGGGCATGGGTCTAAACACCGTCCCATTATCATCTGTACCGCACGCACCTTGGAAGGATTTTAGCCCATGTCAAAGAGTGCCCTTCAACCAGCACCTGGCCATGGTCCAGGGATAGTCCAGGGCAGGGACCACACGCAGCAAAAAGCCTGGATGAGGCTGCAGTTGACTGAGAAGCTGTGGGGATGGGAGTCAAGCTGGGTCACTTGGCTTCGGGGACAGAAACTAGTCTTTGTCCCATTTATTTAGTAATGTAGATGAGTCCAGTGTGCTTGAAAATCCATCACTGTGGACTAACTGTGCTTGGTGACCTTTTTGAAGGTAAATGGTCTCATCTGTTTGCCTGCGGGCATGCCTGGGTGAACAGTGCTGGCTCTGCTGGAACTGGGAGCTCAGCCCTTACGTTTTCCTGTGCTCACCTGGTGAGAGCTCATCATCTGAAGCTCCACTGTCACTTACTGGCTCAGCAAGAGCAGTAACCAGGAAGCTTCTCCGAAACACAGCATTGTCTTCAGATGTAGGGATTACTGAGACCATTCATCACAGAACAATATCTCTCCACGTCAGCTGCATTTCATGCTGCCAAGTCTATTACCTGAATGGCCTCTTTGTTCTGTCTGTGCTACAATCTCACATCACCTTCTGGACTAAGCGATCCGTCACCTCATGTCATGTGTGCCACTTGGAACAATTCTCAATCCACAGCTCTGTGACTGTTTCCACTTGCTGATTTGTTTCACTTACACTAATTACACCTGCTGAGCTCCAGTTCCTTATGGTCCTGGTTTTCAGGGGGACGAAAAGTCTTGAGTTTTCCGCCTGCCTGAAGCCTCTTATCTGGTGCTCCAGAATCCTTCAACTCAGGGCTTCCCATGGTGCTGGGAAACTCAGATCCTCTTTCTTCTCTACAGCCTCGAGCAAAATTGCATCTGGGGACATCTGGGCATGCAGGGTCTTCATTTGTGCTGCTGGCTGCAGCCATGGACCCTCAGCAAGGAAGCCAGCTGGCACCTGAACTTCACAACTGCATCCACCCTTGTAGGACAAATCCGTTCTCCTGAGGCTGGGCCATGTTCACGTTACAGAAATCCTTTTGCCACCAAGGAGAGGCCATGTGCAGGCTACCTGTAGGGAATGCTTGTCCTGCTAACTCCCAAACCGCACCTGGGTCACATTTGGCATAGTGCTAGCTGGCTCATGCCAGAGCTGGGCCATGGACCATTCCAAATAGCAGCCTCTAGGTTAATTAAATCCAGAGCCCTCGTATTGTTTAAGTTGTTAGTGTAGGTGTAGCCTGTGTTATGGGGAAAGGGCAAGAAGTCGCCGTTTCTCAAGCGTGGAATTCCTAGGCAGAGCAGCTGAATGGCTGGTACCTTCTCCAACCCAGGCGAGGAGCCGTGAGGCCTGAGGCTTCCTGGGTCATCCTGGGGTGAGCAAACCATGAGTTATGGCCCCCGGCCCTCATGCCATGGTGTATTTTTTTTTGCTCTCACCTGTGCTGGAGTGCTCCCAAATCTGCAGGAGGCACTTGGACACGCTTCAGGTGACCTCCAGCTCTGTCCCAGGAAGCACACACCTGCTAGTAGAAGACTTAAAAACGTAAAATATTCCAACATGTATTGCCCATTTGCATTCCCCTTGCCCACCCAAACCACCCCAAACCTGTATTAAAACTCTTCTGCAAATTTAATTCCAGACCAACAATCCATATTTACAGCTGAATGGATTTAAGCCCGATAATAGCACATAACGGCTTCTTAATATCCCAGTCAAGTGCAGCCGAGCTTGGTGCAAGATCAATGCACTCTTGTCGCGGCAAACAGCCTTTCCCTGTCCACAGGACCGTGATGTACAATGCCTGTGCACCCGGGCTGGGGATGCTCCAAAGCTTGGTCTGCGGTTCTGGACACAGGGGGGGGATCTTCCAGACACTCTTGCTCAAGGGCTCGTCTACTCTGAAGCTCGTGGTGATCGCTGAAGTCACCGGCCCCAAGAAACACTTTAGCTCAAGATCTGGGAAAGGTGACAAGGAGATGTGGGCTGGTGTAGGGATGGGGAAGCCCGTTAGCTGGCAGAGGGTCTTGCAGATCTGCTGCCTACACCTCCGCTCCATGTCAGCTTTGCTGTCCTCCTGCAGCACGAGGGGGAGGAGAAAACATCTCACAGGCAAATCCTGTGGGTCGAGACTGGAAAAAGAAGCAGACCAGTGCACGTGCAGGGGCGCTTTCTGTGGTAAGGTATGCTTTAACCACAAGCAACCTCTGGGCTCCTTTATTTGACGGTTCCTTGATTTGTCAAAAAAAGAAATCTGTCCTGCCTTTATTACGGCTTTTATGATTGGGCGATATGTTTCTGGTGGAAGCAACTGGCATGCGCAGCTCAAGACACAGAGGAGCACCTGGAACACGCTGCCAATCCCTCCCTGCGTCTGGGCTCTCCTGTCTTCTCCTCTTTCCTGGTCGTGTCATCCACTCGAGTGCTCACCCTCATGGCGCGCTGTCTCACCAGGACCAAGCCCAGAGGTGAGTTGCAAGAGTCTTTTCTTTTTTTTCGATAGTTATTGGAGGAGGAACCTGATTCAGGCTGCAAGAGGGAGGCACCAGGTACAGGAGGGAGGGGGTCTGCGGACATCTGTTTTCACCTCTGACTGCAGGGGGGCATTGCTTCCCTCTCCGTTTACTTATGTCTGTCAGCAGTAGATATCACTGATACACGAGGTAAGAGCCGACGGGTGACAAACCCACCAGCTTTTGGTGGAAATCCTGTTGTTTTGGGGGATTTACAGCTACCTGTAAGACCACGGTGGAGTGCAGGCTGGTGCTGTATGGGATTCCTCATCCTTAGGTGGGCGCTGGCATGCAACCAAGACTGTTCTGTTAGTCCTGATTACTGCAAAATCAGCAAGACCTGGGCTTTGGGACACAGACATCCTCATGATCTTAGAGACCACAGCAAGTGTACAAAGCAGTGGGGCGTTGCAGGCCTGAAGGTCCATGACTATTATCTGGCACAGAGGAGTAGCCAGCAGGATGCCGGGGATAAATCTCCGGTGGTGGTGCTGGAAGTTGGAGGGGTGGCGGTCATGTGGGTGCTAACTCTGCTGAGAAGGCTGGAGCTGCTGTTCACAGGATACAGAAGTAAAACAGACAGTGACAAACGAGGCCATTAATTAGTGCAGGTGAGCTGTTCTGAAACGTTCAGTGAGGTCATCGGCTGAAAGGGGAGGAAACACATAGAGCACCAGCCTGCACACCAGAACGGTTCACTGGTGGCTGTCAGATCCCCCCCAACCCCCCCCATATCTCGGGGAGCTCCCCCCCCATACCTCGGTGTGACGCTGACATCAAAATCCAGTTTGTGGTTCAAAGCCCCGTTGACCCATTCTTCTGGTTTGTGTCACCTTTTAGAGGGGCCTTTTCCTCATTGTGCCCATGCACGTATTATTCTGACATTTTGTCCTCCGTGTTTGCAGGCAGCGTTGCCTGTGTCTTGCAGCCCTGCGCAAAGCCCGAAGCCTGCCCCAGCGCTCCTCTCATCCTGCTGATCGGAGCTCAGATGCAGGGGCACCTCTTTGCACGGGACAGAATTTGTGCTGGGGGCCCCTCGGTGGCTCCCTTGGAGGGGTCTGTCACCCTTGGGCACGTTCTGACTTCTCTGTGCCCCCACCCTTTCGGTACCCCTCTGCCCTTATGAAGTTTCTGCCCATCCCAGACATGGCAAAGTGGGGGGACCCCAGCCCGGCCATTTTATATCTGTATTTTTACGATTATATGTTTTTAATCTCTATAGCTTTATAAATATATATATATAAATATACACAGCTATACATATATAGAAGAATACATAAAACAGTGTGTCTGCATCTAATTTAAAAAGTCAAATCCTATTTGTACGCTCCTTTACATACACTTCTGTATAACGTATACCAGTATAAAATACGTGTTTATACACAATATATAGTATATAAATCTATCTATTTTCATACAGTGGCATTTCCCGGTCCAAAGGAAGCGGCCAGCCAATCACAGGGCTGCCTGAGACCACGTGGGTATGATGGCAGCACGATGCTTAAAAAAGCGGGAAACCGCCTGCCGTACAATGGCGGCGCCGCGTCCTGAAATGGCGGCCAAAACAAAATGGCAGCCCCACGTCGAGTAAATCGGAAGGGCGTGGCCGCTCCTGCCACGTGACCAGAAGAGGGGGCGTGGCTTCCAGCCCCTAAGGCTGCTGGGAGGCGGTGGGCGGGGCTTGCGGTGAATGCTGGTGGGCGGGGCACCTGTCACTCCTCCGCCTCTCTGGGGCCTGTGGCGCTGCTGCCGCTCCTCGGGTCCGAGGTCAGGGAGGGAGCCGGGCGCCGGGCGCCCCGAGGAACCCGCGAACGGCAGCTGGTGGCTCTCTGGGAAACGAGGGGGGCGAAGACGGGGCTGCCGATGGTGATGGAGGGCGGCCTGGGCTCCGTGGAAGCGCCTCGCGCACGGCGCTCTAGGGGTGACCTTTCTTTCCGCAAAGAGTCGGTTGGAGGTAACTGTCCTTCAGCTCTCCACGCCGTCCCCTGAGCCCCTGGGCGTTCCCCTCTGCCAACCCCTGCACCCAGAGCCCCCGCCCTGCGGGCGTCTCTGTGCTCCCATCGCTTGTCGTCCTGTCTGTGGTGTTCGCAGGTCCGTTCATGGAGTGCGTGGAGGGGAAGGTCTCCTGCAAGAAACTCCTCATCTGCCTGCTCTTCAGCTTCATCATCGGCCTCTGTTTCTTTGTTTCTCTTCATCGGTTCGGGACTTCTGAGCCGGAGCGTTACAATTCCAGTCCCTCTGCACGAAGAGCCCATCCTAGAGATATCGGTGCCCCACCAAAGGGTGAGCGCAGGCTGACCATCCTGCTGTGGACGTGGCCCTTTGGGCACCACTTTAACTTCATAAACTGCTCAAAGGTCTACAAAACCCCGGACTGCCATTTCACCGTCAACCGCAGCTGGTCCCAGAAGGCCGATGCTGTGATTATGCATCACGGGGATGTGTGCAGGGAGAGGGAGAAGCTGGCCCAGGTCCCCAGGTTCCCGTTCCAGCGCTGGATCTGGTTCAACCTGGAGTCCCCAAGTCACTCTCCGAACTTAGGTGCCATGGACAACCTCTTCAACCTGACCATGTCTTACCGGAGAGATTCAGACATCTTCACCCCTTACGGGGAGCTGCAGCTCCTTACCCAGCCCCAGCCCCTCAACATCCCACCCAAGACCAAGCTGGTGGCCTGGGTAGTCAGCAACTGGAAAGCAAACTCCCCCCGGGTAAAGTACTACCAGGAGCTAAAGAAACACATCACTGTGGACGTCTATGGGCGGTACCACTTGCCCCTGCCCCGGGACAAACTCCTTCCCACTATCTCCCAGTACAACTTCTACCTGGCTTTCGAGAACTCACAGCATGAAGACTACATCACCGAGAAGCTCTGGAGGAACGCCTTGTCCTCTGGCACTGTCCCTGTTGTGCTGGGGCCTCCTCGAGAAAACTACGAGCGTTTCTTGCCCCCTGACTCCTTCATCCACGTCGATGACTTTGCCAGCCCCGGGGACATGGCGCAGTACCTGTGGGAGCTGAGCAGGGACGGCGAGGGATACCAGCGCTACTTCCAGTGGCGCAAGTGGATGAAACCCTCAGAGGGACCTGGGTGGGCTGTGCACGTCTGCAGAGCTTGTCACTTCTTGCAGACCACGGCAGCCAGGTACCGGGTTGTGCCCGATCTGTCTGAGTGGTTCGTGTAACTGCTGTTTGCTCAGCTTTCTGCCGTGCTGCAATCTTTTTGTCCTTGCTGGTGGGTCGCAATTTCGCGATTAAACTCGATGGAAGTGGAGGGACAAAAGGAGCTTTGAAGCAAACAAGGACAAGGAAGCAATTAGGTGTTTTTATGTCTTTGTCTTGAGAACAGATTGTCAGATAGAGCAGTAGTACATTGTCTTTTTTGTTGATTAGTTACCTGAAAAACTTGTTTGCTGGCTGCAGCTTGGTCTTTGAAGAAGTTCACCTTCAGTCTCCGCAAACAATTCTGAATCAGCCCCACTGGAGGGGGAGCTGAAATAACAATACCTATCATAAAACAGTTTCAAGGACTTGCTACTGTGCAAAGCAGCAGCTTGAAGGGTCGGCCACCCCACGAGGCTGCCTGCTGCTGCAGGGGGAACTGCCTGCTCTCCTCTCTTCCAGCCCCACAGCCCCAGTCCTGCCCTTGCTCTGCCTTGGGCTCTCCCTGGCTGCCTGTGTGGTGCTGCATCAGGATGCTAAATGGGCAGAAACCAACTCAATTTCTTTTTCAAGGCTGTTTTTTTGGACAGGTTGGCAAGACAATGTGTGTTTGAGGAGGGATCTGGCGGCAGCAGCCTGGTCTGGGTAAGGTGTGGGGTGCCAAGGATGCCCCGGAAAGAACTGTAAGTTTTAGTGCCTGCAGCACCCTGTGGCAAGGAGACGCTCAGGACCAGCATGTGATGAGTGACCTCCTCTGTGCCTCGAACAGCAACTTCTGGCATCGGCTGATGCCTCTAGGCCACGTGTTTAAAAAATAGTGAAAAATTCACTGAGCTTCCTGCTGCTGTTCAGGTTGTATCACTGGAAACTCTTTCCTTTTCAGGTTGGGGAGCCCCATTGCATGGAGTTGGCGGACACAGCCGTGCCCTTCCAGGCTCCTTGCCGATACTCCTGATCATTCAGTTTGTTTTCCTGACGGCTGCTGATCCCTGAGCTGAGCCTTTCAAAGGTCTGTCCTGACCCCGGGATGTTTCCATGAGGAAAATCAGCTCAGAGTCCAGCAGTGCGTACAGAGATGCAATTGTTTTCCCCATCAGCAGCATTCAACAAACATTTCTAAAGAATTCCCTCTGCATTTTCACTCACGGGCATTTTGTAGGAGAAGGACCATCAGCAAGACCTTGTCTTTAACACTGCGAGTCCTTTATTTTCATTAACAACCTTTGCCCCCTTTGTTTTTTCTCTGCTTTGCAGATTGGTTGGATACATTAATCAGCACAAGCCGAAGGACAAATGTTCACTCTGAAACCTGAACCTTTATCCCTCCCATCTTCTTCCTCTTCTCCTACCTGTCTAGCTAAGACCTTCCTGCTTAGTTTCATGAAGAGCCCTTGCTGGACCTTAGGGAAACATGTGCCACATCATCCTTAGCCACGTGCTTGCTGTCTGCTTCAAAAAAGAGCAATAAATTTGTGAAGCATCAATTTTTATTGCCAAACAATTGTCCACGCTTCTGCCTCTGCCTCGTCTGCCTGCAGACACACACACATCTCTCCTCCTTTAGCCTGCAACTCCTGGGATCTCGTCAACCCACCCAGGTGCTCTTCCCAACTTTAGAGCCAGTTCAGCTCAGAGCAGCTGGAGAAATTTAAGCCTTTAACCCTACGGATTGAGCTGATATGGATGTGGATAAGGGATAAATAATACTCTGTGTGTGAGCTCTAGGTACAGTCTCCTTCTGTCAGTGGCGGCACGGGGGAGTTGGGATGGATGGTCACTCGTTTCACCGCCCCTGCTACATTTGGAAGATGACACCAGTCCCTGGGCTAAATCCTTCTGCCTCGAGACTTCCCTTGGGAAGACTTCAGCTTTGAGCATCGCCTTCAAAACCGATAACAAAACAGAGTGGTTGATTAAGCCGAGCAGCGACGGGGCACAAAGTCCAGCTGCTTGGAAAGGGTGTTCCATTTGGAAAACCAATTGCAAATTTCCAGGAGCTAATAGAGACGACCCGTGCTGCGTGCATGAATGCAGCCAAGAGGAGCTTGCTCTTGGCTTTAGCCAACGTCATAAAAAGCCTTCCCAGGAAGACGTGTAAAGCCCCATGAACGTGTTCAGTTCACCTGCAGTATTTTTCTTTGGCCTGTTTTGAAGGGACGTGCTGCAGGGAAGGGGAGGTCCTGGTGGGTGGCAATGCAGGGTGTGTTGGGGCAGGGCTGATGTCTCCGGGGGTTTAGGTGCCTCCTGCAGCAGTGGGTGACTGCAGATGTGCAGCTCCCTCGGCCATCAGGGTTTCCAGGTGTACAAAGCGGTATTTTGCCTGACTGGGTGCAGAGCAAGTGGCTGTTCATGGGCAGGGAGCCCAGTTTTGGTCTCACTGGAGGCTTGGTGATGACGTTTATTGAGATCATTTGATATTTTTGCACCATTGTGCTGGGAAGAGGCTGGATGGGGAAAGACCCTCTGGTGTAGGGCTGGGAAGGGAGATGGCTGCAGGGAAGAGACTGGACTCAAAACTAATGCCAGGGGTTTGTCAGGGGAGCACCTAAAAGAAATTAAATTTGGAAGTTTTCAGCTGAGGTTAACCTGAAACATGTAAATCATGTGCTGAGGATGGAGACGAGACAGATTGAGACTCAGGGTGGTTTTTAAGAGGAAAGAAATGTCTTTCCAAACTTGTAAGGCTCTCCGGTGGAAAAGCTGAAGCGAAGCCCCCAAGCTAGGGAAGGTTTTTCTCTCAAGTAGAACAAGAAGTATTTCTGCAAAGCACAACAATTTCCACGGCTGATGGCAGGGAATTGCCCCGATCCGATGTTGGGGGAGGTTTCGATACGATCCCAAGAATGAGACTAAGAGGTCAAATGCCATCCACCCAAAACACTTTTTATTATTAAAAGCAAAGAGTGGTAGCGATAGGATGGAGGGGAAGGAAAAGACAGAAATGAAGTGCCCAGAGCAGAGTTGCGGGAATAGTCACCCCCATGGATCCAGCAGCGTTCCGTCGGTCCGCAGTCTCCAGTTCTTCAGTGGTGGGTGCACACACAGCAAAGGTTACCGTCGCCTTTTAAAAATTCATCTTATCAGCTGATTAGCATACCTGCCCACCTTTAGTTTTCCCTCTATTCCCACAGGTTTTTGCTGACTTCATGCTGCTTAATCCCGCGGGTTGTGGTGGGGGAGCTACCTCACCTCTTACCAGTTCATTAGCAATGCCCGGGCGGGGTCTGGCCTACACAATAGAGCCACAAAGTGCCGGGTTTACACGATGGAGCCCGTGATAAACATTTGGTTTCACACAGCCCATGTCCCCCCCCTGCCCCGCTTTGAGGTTTATCTGAGTCTGACAATGCAACTGCAAGGGGGTGCGGCCTTCCATACCTCCCACGTCCTTGGGGGACCTTCCTCAGCCTAACCCAGAGGCCACAGCTTGTCCTTGAGGTTTGCGCACACACACACGAGCAAGGTTTGAGACAACCGTTTGCCATTTCAGTCTCTCACAGTGACGCACACCTTAGAGCAGTGGCCAGTGTCGAGGTGTCCGTGGCTGCGATATGACCAACAAGGTGCCGGGGTGCCGATGGAGGGGGATGCTGAATGGCAGGAGAGCACCTGAAGGAGCCTTGGGCTCCTTGGCATAGGGGGACAGGGCTTGGCACATCTATTTAGTAGGCCTCTTACATGCAGAGAGGGCCAAGTCTCCCCAGTTTGGACTATTTACCCTTGTGGAGAACCTCTTTTCCAACGATGGGGAAAGTCGAACGTAATTTATCCGTCCCTGCTAATGCCTCCTGCTGCTGCAGCCTCTCCAGCTGCGGTTGGGGAGCATTTTGGAAACACCTGCTCCACAAAAGAGCTGCAAGAAATCCCCGTTTTTCTCTTGCCAACCTCCCAAGCCGATTCCCTTTGCTTCCAAGACCTGGAGTCATTTAACATCTATCAAAAAGACACGAGTCCTGCAGGTTTTTGGATTCTTTTAACTGAGGAATGGCGGATCCAGGATTATCAGCTCTCTCCTTCTGTGCCTGAGCCTGGGGATATTTTGGCAGGTCAAGGCCAGCCAGGCTCATCAGCCTCATCCCTCTCCCGGGTCCAAGGGCTATTTGGGGACCTGGGTGAGCCTTGGGGAGAGCAGCAGGGGTCTTGCTGAGCCTGAGGCTGGCCAACCCTCAAGGCTGCAGGAGCAAAGGCAAAATAAATATGCAGGGGGCAGATTTATGAATGTTGACCTCGCCCTTACCCAAAATTGTTCTGCAGCCTTTGGGAGGGTGACCAAAATAGGAATTTTAGTTCCACTGAAGCATTCAGGACTGGGCAGACCGGGGGGTGGTAGGAACTTGCACCCAGCCAAGCTTAAGCTATGGTCCTTGAGGAGGGGACATGGGGTCGACAGGACAAAAATACGACATTAAACTTTCTCCTCCTCTAAGCAGTGTCTTGCTGCTGCCGTGGCCTGGGGAAGGGATGCCTGTGGGTGACGTGGAGCCACACACAGGCTGACTTTGTTAGGGGACGGGAAAGCTGACACCGCACTTGGGAAACTGTAAGGGGGGGACTTCATCGAGGGAAACATCTGGATGGCTGCACTGCGGGGGCCCAGGGCTGGGAGACCACACTGAAAAGTCACAGGCTGGCTTTTCCTGCAACACCGGTGCCAGGGTTTGCAGCCTCCTTGCCCAGGTGCGTCCCCCCCTCCACACCCAGTTGGAGATACCAGCATGAGGGGCCGCCTCAGTCCCTCGCAGAAAAGGTGTGATGTTTGCCCCCGAATCTCTCGTCTCTTCGCCCAAAGGCGGCAGGGGGCAGGCTGAAGTGTTCCCAGGTGACACTTGGGCAGAGCTGGTCCAAAGAGCAGACAAGGGGAAAACTTGACAGGGGTGTTTTTCCAAGAGGTGAGAAAGAGGCTGCTCCTCATGGGAAACCGGGGAGATAATGATGTTGAAAATGGAGTTTTTGGAGCAGTGTCTGACTTCTGCTCTGCAGAGATACCAGGGCCAGAGAGAGAGCTTGGGAGAAGCACAAATCCTCACCAAGCCTGGCTCAGCAGAGCTTTGCATTTGGGGAAGGGAAGAGAAAAGGCTCAGCGACACCAAAACCCTGAAAACAGCAGCTGGAGCCTTACGAGCTCCAGAGTTCCATCATCACTGGGTTTGTCCTTCTGGGTGTGCGAAGGTGCCTGAACCAACCCTGTAAATGCAATTACTTCCAGTTTTCCTGAGCCTACGGGCAGATACTCACCCCCCCGGTCTGGAAACCTGCTCCTCATTTTGTCCACTGAGGCTGGGGAGGGGAACACGAAACCAGTAAGACCATTTTCTCCACATCTGTCCTGCACCGCTGAGCTCCCTCCTTCCCTTGTAGCAAAACCCCAGCAGCAGCTGAAGTAACGCATATTGTCATCCCGGGCTTCTGCATTTTTGGTGGTACTAGCAGAGATACTGAGGGGGAAAATCACCATTTATGTGAGTATCTCGGTTGCTTGTTGGTTTTTTTTTTTAAGACTTGCAAACTTCACGCTCTTGTCTTCACTTTTATTTCACATTTTTCAGTTTGAAGTGAGGCTGGGTTTATTTTCCCATGTTTTTTCTTACCAGGAGGTAATTTTGAGAAGCTCAGACTGAGTGGTGGGGTTGAGCACTGTCAGCATCCCATTTCCCACCTCTTTTTCCATTTAAAAAATGAAAAAATAAATACAGACCGTCATTTGAGAGCTGGGATTTTTAAGCTGGGGCTCTAAAGCAAGCACCAGCCAGTGAAAATCTCCCACTCACACTATGAAAACTGGAACTATGCACCTCATCTCCAAGAAATTACACCCCAAATCATCCCCTGTCCCAGACCAGCAGCACGTCCTGGCTTCACACTGTTGCCTGTAACCGTTGG